TGCGCGCCGACCGCACCAAAAGTTAAAAACCTAAAAAAAAAAAAAAAAAAAGAAAGCAAGCCTCCAGGTTTAGGGCTCAAACTGCTGTCAGCCATGTGGGAGTCTGGAGCCTTAACCATCACGCCACTTGCTTGCCTCATGAACTTTTTTGAACACATTCTCTCCTACTGTCTGAACATCCCCATCTTAAAACAGACTCATATTGTTCATACTGGCCATTCCCAATGTGAGAATTTGCCAGCAGGAAAAGAATTGACATTTGTGGAGGCAGAATATGTATATAAAATAACTTATTTAATTTCAGCTGTTCTGCCAGGGATTTACTGGGAAAAAATATTGCTCCCCAGTAAATACATGGCTAGGTGGTAGAACCAGTGATATCTAGCTTGAAGGCCCAGCTCTTTGCACTGAAATGCAGTGCAGGTTGAGAAACCCACAGAGTTTTAATCTGTGCATTCAATTAGACCTTAAAACAACCTGATAAAATGTCTAATCTTGGATACACCTAAGTGGTCTTGTGTCTAGATTTATGAATGACTGTAAGGTTTAACACGTTTAAGGAGGCGAGTAGGACTCGGAAAAATCCCTGTGCAGAGGTCTTGCAAAACCTGGAGTCAGTTCCTTGAACAGTTCACCTTTAGTTTCTCTGGTAAGCACTTGAATTACTTTATTTTAAATTTCCTCCAGTTCTACAATCTTTTGATTTTTAAATTACACACATTGAGAGAGGAGCTGAATTCCATGCTTCCCTAGATGCCTACGGGACAGTCAGGAGTCAGCAACTAAACGTAAAGAAGAAACTTTTGTGACCCCTTGCAGGTCATGTATGTTATGTTAGCTCTACCTATTCTACAACTTCCTAGATGACACCCGGGAATTGAACGCTCCAGCGCAGAAAGAAGCCCGACTCCCTTAAACTGGTTTTAAACTTCACCAGTTTTCTCCAGTCGAAGAGGCCGCAGGACTACAACTCCCAGCATGCCATTTCCGTGGCCACTGCTTATTGGCGGTCTCGCATAGGTTTCTTGCATTGTGGCAGCCACCTCAGCCAATGGGAAGGAAGGATGGTTCCCATTAACCAATCCCGCAGAAGCAGCGCGGACACATCTGGGTTCCGGCTCCGGCTTCTTCCCGGCCCACAGAGGCGGCGCTGTCCCTGACCGAGCGGCGGGACTGAGGTGGGTTTGGGTAGGGCCCGAGGTCGCGGGGGGAGGAGGACACGACTTTGAAGGGAACTTTGAGTACGGCCGCTTCCTTCTCGCCGAGGAGTTGGAGGCTGCAGCTCTTTCCCCAGACCCGGTGGGGAGAAGAGGGGCCCCTCTGGTCTATGCCCCGACCTCCGTCCCCAGCCCTCGGCCCCACCACTACCCCGTTCCGTCTCTCCTTGGCCTTTGAGTACTCCAGCCCCTCTGCCACTGCTACGTTTGGGAGTCAGGCGTCGTCCACCCACCCCTCGGGCTGGGAGCCCACTGACATCTCTGAACCAGCTCCTGGCCATCAGCTTCTCCCCTCCCTGCTACACACAACACACCTCGTGGGCCCTGATCTTCAGACACTTACCTCTTCTCTGGCCATCCCATTGGACCCTCTGACTCCTTAGGTCCTCTCACCCGTCTTCCAGCTCTCCTGTACAATTCCTTGTTCGCTCACACCTTGTCCCTAGTCTTTTCAAGCGCCTCTTTACCCTTCCTCGCCCCCAGCCCTTGACTTGGTCCCCAAAACCACATTCTGCCTTGGCCCCTTCCCTCTAACTCAGGCCCTTGCCCATCATCACCCTTGATCACCAGCCTCATCTTCTTGGCTCCTATGTCTTAGACCTGGCCCCTTCTCCTTTGCCTCAGTCCTTCCCACCCTTGCTCTAATGTGTACCTAAGCTACTAGGAGGGCAAGTAGTTAAGTTCCTTCCCACCCAGATCTCTTACACGTGATATGAAAGTGCCCTTGTACTTTAGCTGTATAGTACTTGGAGTAGGCAGTGAGCTTCCTACAGATGCAAGCCCCCGTCTTGATCACTCATCCTGCAAGTCCTGACACAAATACCACCTCTTTGAAACTAGTCATCTCTGATCTCATCGGGAAAATACACCTGTGTCATCTGACTCCCGTGGCACTATTTTTTATTATTTCCTTTCTTCCTTCCTTTCCTCCTGCCTTTCTTTTCTCTTTCTAATACTAGGGTAGTGGTTAAAAGCACTGGCTTTGGAGTGATGAGCATAGGCCTCACTTCTGCCACTTACTTGCTGTGTATCCTTGGGCAAGTCACTTAACTTTCTCTGAGCCTCACATTCCTCATCTCTAGAGTAAGGGAAATAGTTGTAATAATGAAATGAGATGATTTACATATTGTGCTTAGTCTAGGGCCTAGCACTTGGTATGAGCATTAAAAAAATTTAACTTTAGGGACCAGCAGTTAGCGTAATGGCTATGTCGCTGGACTCCCACATAGTCGACTGCGGTTCGAGTCCCGGACCCGGTGGCTTAAAACTCACGACGGGCGTGTGTGCGTGCATGTGCGCCCAAGATCCCGAGAGGAGAATGGAGGAAAAGTGATTGGGGCGTGGCCATCCCCCTTGGGGGGTGATTTCTCGCTTTCTGTCTGTCTCTGTCTGGTTGGCGAGCACACGCACCCTATAGTAAAAACCTCTCTAGAAAAAAAAAAAACCCTCTCAAAAAAAAAAAAAAAAAATAACTTCAGGGCCAGCAGGTGGCGTAGTGGCTAAAGCATTAGACTCCCACGTGGCTGACCATGGCTTGAATCTCAGACCCAGTGGCTTGAAACTCATGCTGGGTACATGTGTGTGAGTGCCTAAGATCCTGAGAGGAGAGTGGAAGAGAAGGGATTGCAGCATGGTGTGATTTTTCACTTTCCATCTCTCTTTCTTTGGAGAGTGCACGCACCCTATAGCAAAAATCTCTCTCCCCCCAAAAAAGTTAACTCCTATTGGTTCCTGTATAATGTGCCAGCCACTGTGCTCGACACTGAGGAGTGGGTACAAAGATGACTAAGGCACAGGTCCTGTGCCCGGGAGCTTAATTTTCTCCACTGTATGACAGTTTCTGGAGTTCATGGCTTACACTTTACCGTGAACATTTGAAGGTGGTACCATAATCCTGAATCTTTTTGCTCTTGTATTGACCCAGCAGTCAGCCCTGGGTAGAGTCAGAATTTGGTAAATTATACACTCTCAGAATAAGAGGAATAGAGGTAAGTGGAAGCACCATAGATCATTTGATAGTGAGAGATACTAGAGCCCTAGGTGGGTAGAATGGGTGTGGGAAGTTAATTAAGGTCTCATCCATGGGCTGGCTCTGTGAGTTAAAGGCAGCTAGATCCCACATGATCAATTGCATGATTTAAGTCCTAGACCTGGCAGCTTGAGAAACATGCCCTGTGTGTGTGTGTGCCACAAACCCTAGAAGGAGCAAGACTTAGGAGAAAAGAGATTGTAGCATGACTATTTCCCAGGGAGGGTTCCCTCTCTTCTCCCTCTCTGTCTCTTTGGCGAGCATATGTGCCCTGTAGCAAAAAACAAACACAAAGCAAACAAACAAAGATCCATTTACTCATACATTCATTAAAAAAAAAACAACATGGAGGCACCTGGCCTTGTGCTACAGAAGGAAGGAGATTACTAAGATTGGGGCCAGCAGTTGGCGTAATGACTATGTTGCTGGACTCTCCTGTAGTCAATCACAGTTCAAGTCCCGGACCCAGTGGCTTAAACTCACACCAGGCGCGTATGTGTGCGTGCCCAAGATCCAGAGAGGAGAATGGAGGAGAAGGAATTGCGGCATGGCCATCCCCCTGGTGGGTGATTTCTCACTTTCTGTCTTTCTGTCTCTGTCTTTCTGGAGAGCGCACGTGCCCTATAGCAAAAACCTCTCCAAAAAAAAAAAAAAAAAAAAAGAAAAGAGATAACCAGACCCCTTTCTTCAAGTTGTTTATAAACTGAGAGTGGAAACAGACATGTTGACAAATACTTATAAATCACTGTAGAATGAAGCACAAGATTCTGTGGGTGCATAAAGTGGGCAGGAATCAGAAGATTGCTGAGGAACAGTGGATGAGCATAGATCCAAGTAAGCATGAAATGGCCCTGGAAATAAGTCTGGGCTTCGTTTATTAAGGATCTAACATACATGCCTGCCATTGTGCTATTAGTGAATAAAAGAAAATGAAGCTCTTGTCCCTCGTGGAACTTATGTTTTTACAGGAGTAGACAGACAAATAATAGACATTCTAAGTGGTCAGAGAACAACAATAATAATAGAAGGATGGTCAGATAACAAAGGATACATTTTTCTGATGTTTCTTACATTTTTGAAAGTGAAGGAGCCTATTATTTTTTTCTTAAAATTTTATTTATTTATTCCAAAAGTCAGAGAGACAAGGTCTTGACCCCTCAGTCCTCCTCTGCATCTTTAATCAGCTCAGATAGAATTGAATTTTAACTCTTTGCCAGTCTGGCCCCATTGTTGTTCACTTTATTTTTCTAAATTCTTTAAGAAACACTCTTGGGGGTGGGGGCAGCAGGTGGCTTAGTGGTTAAGGCACTGGACTCCCACATGATTGGCCATGGTTCAAGTCTTGGACCCGGTGGCTTAAAACTCATGCCAGATGTGTGTGCATGCATGCATGCCTAGAATCCTGAGAGAAGAATGTAGGAGTAGAGATTGGGGTGTGGCCATCCTCCCTAGGGGGTGATTTCTTGCTTTCTTTCTCTGTCTCTAGTGAGCACATGCACCCTATAGCAAAAATTTCTCCCCCGAAAAAGAAACACTCTTGACACTCTTGGGGCCAGCCCTGTGGCCTATTGTTTAAGGGAACAGGATCCATGTGACCAATCATGCTTCAAGTCTCAGCCACAGTGACTTGAAAAATGTGTGTGTGTGCCCAAAATCCCAATGGTTTGGGGAAATGGAGGAGAAGGAATTGCTATGTGACCATACCATATATGTTGGGAGGTGCTTTCTCTCATGCTCTCCCTCTTTCTCTCCCTTTTTTGAGAGCATATACTCGCTGGCTTTCTGTCTCTCTGTTTCTCCAGTGAGTGCATGTGCCCTATAGCAAAAATCTCTCTTTAAAAAAACAAGATGGGACCAGCAAGTGGCATAGTGTTTATGGCTCTGGACTCCCAAATGGCTAACCATGGCTTGAGTGCTGGACCTGGCAGCTTGGAAATCATGCTGGGTGCATGTGTGTGCACACCCAAAATCCCAGAATGGAGGAGAAGAGATTGCAGCATGGCCATCCCCCTGGGAGGTGATTTCTCATCTTCCCTCCCCATCTCTGGAGAGTGCATATGCCCTGTGGCAAAAAAAAAAAAAAAAAAGAGAGAGAAACACTCTAACTCTAACAGGGTTTGATGAATTAATTCACTTCCTGTTGTTTTAAATAAAGTTTTATTGGAGCATAGACACATTCTTTTATATCTTTTGTATGACTGCTTTCATGATATAGTGGCAGAGATTAGTAGTTATTACAAAGATTTTATGACCCTAAATATTTACAATCTGCTCCTTTACAGGAAAAGTTTGATGACTTCTTCTACCTAAAGAGTTGAGGATCTTTGTTTCACATTTTAGAAGATTATATACATATACTACTATTTTTAAAGTAAAATATCTTTTTCTTTCCCAACAAAATCATTTAGAGGATCTTTCTCATTCTTATATTCTTCACGGGGCTAGTCATACATGTCTTCAACAATTGTAGTAGTTGTCATTTGCTGAGTGACCAGTACATGTTACACGCTCTGTTGGGCATATTATAGGCATATTCTCTAATACAAAGTTCTGCAGTATAGGTAGGTATTACAGTTTTAGTGATGAGAGAGTTGAGGCTCAGAGTGGTTGAATAATTTGCAGAGAGTTATAAAGGTATGTGTCACCACTGTAATCCAACCCTAAATGTAGTTAGAGCCCTTTACTCTGTGTTGCTTTTTTCAAAAATACTTGCTGACTTGAAGGAATTTTTAATCTGTTTTCTGGCATCGGTGTCCCATCAGCCTGTGCTTCCCTCCTGCATCCCTTTGTCCATGTCATTCTGGACAGCGTCTCCACTAGCTCTCTGCCTTTTGAAATGTCATTATTTCTTAAAGGCCCAGAAGAAATGCCAGCACTTCCATCTTATCAGGAGAAAATTTTTCTTCCTCTTTCCCATCCTTGTCTGTAGGAACTCAAAGGAATTTATGCAGAGTTTAGCAAGCCTTTATTGACATTTGCACAGGCAAGCCCTGGACTGGGCACTGTATGTTTAACTGTGTGTGGATGTGTGGGGTGATGGGACGGTGGTGGTTTCTATATCTGTGGGTATCTTTGTATATATGTGGTATGTGTGCGGTGTGTGGGTAGCTAAGTATGTGGCTATATGTAAGTGAGAGTAGCGTAGAGGATATAAAATCTGTATTATGTGGTGTGTGTGTGTGTGTGGTATGCGTGACTATGGTGTTTGTGTAGTTGTGTGTGCAGTGCATATCTAGGTGGTTGTGTATTTGTGAGTATGGCTGTATGTCATGTGATAATGTGACTGTGTGGGGGGAAGAGGGGCTTTATGTGGTATTTGAGAACGAGGTGAAAATAGGTACTGATGGATCAGAACAGACACAGCCAGTAAGTAGGTCTTAGAGGTCCCAGATGTTCACCCTTTTGTTACCAGAAAGAGGTGAGGTGGCAGAATGCTGAAGAGGATTCAGAACTGGGCCTTATAAACAGTTAGGAGAGACTCAAGAAGTAGAGGTTCTGTGCCACTTCTATAGCCCAGTGGTTAAGGGAGCTGGATCTCACATGCCTGACTATGGTTTGAATCTTGGCCCTGGCGGCTTGAAAAACATGCTGGGCACATGAATACCCAAGATCCTGACAGAATGAAGGAATGGAGGAGAAGGTATTGTGGCATAACCATGCCCAATTGGGGGTTGTTTTCTCCCTCTGTCTCATTGTGCAAGTGCACATGCCCTCTGGGGATTAAAGGTTCTATTCATTTGAAAGCAGGCTAACAGTTGGATATTTTTCAGGAAGATTTTTCAAAAAAGATTAAACAGAAAAGGAGTTTCTCTTAACTCACAGAAAAATTGAACTCATTTCAAAATGGAAGCTCCTTTACTTGTACACAGATTATAGTCTGGGTTATCATTATTTAATAGTATTAAAAAGAGTGATATTAATAAAACTACACAAATATCGTCTATATGTGGTGGACAAAATTGGTGCCTTTTTGTTTTTGTGGGTGGCTTTAAAATATCTGAAAGTTTGTCACTTAAAAGTAAATAAAGTCATTCTATCCAAATCTTCCAGTTAACTGAGGATATTTCTGATGGATGGTTCCACAGGGAAGGTGAACACCCCTTCAGCTGGAATGAAAGATGCACTGTGGTCTGGCCTGACCAAGGAATAAAGGTGTTGGCCATTTGTGTTCATTCTCAGGGTTCAGAGATGGGCAGTGAGAAGGAGCAGAGTCCAGAACCACACCTGCCTGAGGAAGGGGAAGGGGCTGAGCCTTGGAGAGTGGATGACTCAGAGGGCTCTCAGACCCCACCTGGGGAGAAGGAGCATGACCAGGAAAGCCTGTCAGAAAGGCCACAAGAAACCCATCTCAAAAAGCCACGGCAGAAAGTCACTGTCCCAGCTCAAGAACCAGGAGACTCCATGACTCATCCAAGGCTTGAGGTAGACGAGAAGCCCTTTATATGTGCCCAGTGTGGCAAAACCTTCAATAACACCTCCAATCTGAGAACACACCAGCGGATTCACACTGGCGAGAAGCCCTACAAGTGTTCTGAGTGTGGCAAAAGCTTCTCAAGGAGTTCTAACCGCATCCGGCATGAGCGGATCCACTTGGAAGAGAAACACTACAAATGTTCCAAGTGTCAGGAGAGCTTTCGGCGGCGGTCAGACCTCACCACACATCAGCAAGATCACCTGGGCAAGCGGCCATATCGCTGTGACATTTGTGGCAAGGGCTTCAGTCAGAGTGCCACACTGGCTGTGCATCATCGGACCCATCTAGAGCCAGCGCCCTACATCTGCTGTGAGTGTGGGAAGAGCTTCAGCAACAGTTCCAGCTTTGGCGTGCACCACCGCACCCACACAGGTGAGAGGCCTTATGAGTGTGCTGAGTGTGGGCGGACCTTCAGTGATATCTCCAACTTTGGAGCACACCAGAGGACCCACAGAGGGGAGAAGCCCTACCGGTGCACTCTGTGTGGGAAACACTTCTCCCGGAGCTCAAATCTTATCCGCCACCAGAAAACACACTTGGGCGAGCAGGCTGGGAAAGACTGCAGCTGAAGGAAGTGCCCATTTAGAGAGTGACGGACCCAACTTAGTGGAGGAAGATCTTTAGGATCTGCTGCTACTTCCTTGACCTCAAGCCCTTCATCCCACTTTGGAGAATGGTTTCCTGTTGCCTCTGAAGCCAGGATATCCAGGAAGTCCTTAGAAGCAACTCTTGAGTAAAACTCTTTGCCTCTTTCCAGACAATTTCTTGCCTGGGAAAGTCTGAGAACTATAATCTTTGCTTCACCTCCTTGGGGTAAAAGAGAAGTAGGATAGGCATGGTCATGTCATGAAGGTAAAAGTTCTCTGACCTTGTGATGGGCATCATTGTCTAAAGGTTCTCCAGATTGTGTATGAACTGCTTAGAGAATACCGCTGTGGCCTGCCAGTTCTCAACAACTTTGCTTTTAGTTTTCTGGGCCAGAGGAGCTGCCTTCCCAGTGGAAGGGGGCTCCTTGGTCTGGAGAAGAGGTCTGAGGTCCTGCTTTAGGAATGAAAGGGAAGCCCTCAGGGAACCATGATCCAGGGACCTCTCCCATGGTTGTCACTTGTTATCTCCATGCCAACCTGCCACTGTTTCCCCCAGAGTGATTAGCAGTAAAACCCTTCAATGAAAAGGACCTGTGTACTTATTTGGGACGGTGGGGAACTGGGTAGATTGTCCTACTGTAGCCCCTCTGGAAGGGAGTTGAATTCTAAGAAAAACAGGTGGTTGGCTGCTCTGAAAAGCAAGGGAAAGCAAGCAGAGTCTAGGGCTTTTGAGATCGGGAAAGGGAAAAGAACTAACATTTAATGAGTATCCACTACCTGTAAAGTGTACCAGTCACATTTACATTCTTTATCTCATTTAGTTGTCACAGCAACCTGCAAGGGAATAAAATAAGGGAACAGAAGTGAGGAAAGAGAAGGTCACTTGCTGTGAAAGTCACATAGCAGGTATGTGTTAAAGCCAGAATTCAAAGTTGGGTCTCTCTGAATCCTATCTGATTATCTTTTCCCTTACATTCATCTTGTTGTCTTCTGATGGAGGAGTTACTTAGGCTGGCCTGGAGCTACTTAGCAGTCTGGCCTGGAGTCATTGCAGCCTCTTGATACGAAGACCAAATGAGAACATTTTCAACCTCAGATTGACTGAGCACTTATTCTGTGCCTAGGAAAAATGGCAGTGGCAGGAAGTAGGAGTAAGGGGTGGGATAAAATGAGGGTAATCTCAAAACCCATAACGAGAGTCTTTTGCCTTTAGTATCAATAGTTTAGTCCTCAAGGCTGTGACAGCTTGGGAACTCCACATGGCAAATTCTGTGTTTTCTACATGGAAGGTTAGTGTTCACCTAGCTCCTCTAACAAATACAAAAGATCCTTATCTGCCTCTGTTGTCAAACTGAGGCCACTCTCTTCCAGAGTGAGGGTCCTTCATTTGTAGCCAAGTGGCAGGAGGTGATTCTGGCATGAGGCTTGGAACTGACAGGACCCATGATCTGACAACAGATGGGGACTCTGGAAGAGATATGGCAGAAATTTCATACTCATCATCTGTCAAGTAAGAGTTATCTGCATTTGACCTATATGGAAATAGACTGACCGTGAATTGCCCAAGATTACAAAGCAAGTAAGTGGCAGGGCCAGGAACTGGACCTATTTCTGGCCAAATCCAAAGCCTGTATTTTTTCCAACTGTAAAAGACTTCCCAAGTGATTCCTTTACATTTGGGCTCTCTATAGTTTATAAGGCACTTTTAAGTCCCACACGTCTTCTTATTCCTTGAAAAATCTCCACATAAAATACTTAAAACATGTAGTCACCCAACTTGCATGTGTGAATTGGCACACACCCTAACAATAAGTCATCATTTATCAAACATCTACGGAATGCCATTTATTGTACACCAATTATCTCTTCTTACTATTCTGAAAGGCATTAGTGTCTTCATTTTCAAGATAAAATTCTGCAAGGTTAAATGGTCTGACCTATTGGCAGAGTTGGGATTTAAATCAGGTATGTCATTCCAAGGCCAAGCTCTTATACCTACAGTCAAGCTAGATCTGCTACTCTCCTCTCAGTCTGGGGAGCTTGGTATAATTCTCCTTCCAGACCTGCAGCATTAGTGATAACTGCTGTGACTTTTTGGAGTCTCTGCTGCCAGTCAGGCCTAGGACTAGTGTACCAGGCAGCTGTTTGATCTTGGGACACAATTTCCTGTCCAGTCTCATTTGGACTTTTTGACCTAGAGCAGAGGTGGTGTTTCTGTGTTGGTCTATACTTTTGAGTCCTGACTGGTCCGTTTATTCATGGCCTTCCTTTTTTGTCAAATTCCTGTATTTTCTTCTTCATTCCCTTTTTTCTTTTTCTTTCTTCTTCCATCTGTCCTTTCTTTCCTTTTCTTCCTTTCTTTCCCCTGCCTTCTTTCTCTAGTACCTAGTAATACTGACATGATAACATGGCCTCTGTGTTTTCTAGTGTAAGAGGTTGGGACCTAAACCCAGAGTTACAATGCAAGGTGATAGATGTCATTACAGTTGTACCCAGGATACTACAGGAGCCAGGGGAGAGTCTTATCTTGGTTTTTACTGGACACTGGGGCCCAAAAGTAAGACATAATCCTTCCAGCAAGGAACTCAGAAGAAGAGCAACTCTGTGTACTGAGGGAATGCAGGTAGGAATGGCTCTTTAGAGGAGATGGGAGGCTGAGAAGATGATTAAATCTGGTGAAGAATGAGTAGGTGTTTACTAGGTAAAGAAAAGGGAAGACGTTTTTGAAGGGGAAGGGGAAGGGGAAGGCCTTGTATTAGTCAACAAAGGAGTGTTTGAGGTAGTTAATGTTCTGTTGAGAAGAAAAGCTTGGTAAGGTAGATGGGCCAGATTATGGAGGATGTTGTATGTTGGACTAAGAAATTTTAGACTATGAATAATAGAGAATTTTAGAGCAGTAGAATGACATGATTACATTCACTCTTTAGGAATAACATTCAGGCTAGTGTAGAGAATAATTTGGGAACATGTCATATGTGTAAGCCAGGTGTCAGTTGGGGCCCTTCTGATTTACAGAGAGCTTTGTGTGATTGCCTCAGGGTTTGCCAGTTCCACTGAATGAGAAAGTTCAAACCTCCATGTGGTTTCTGCACATTCCTGGAACTTAGGACTCATGGTCCCCTTTGTATTAGGTTCCTGTGTGATACAGCTGTCTCTAGTTTTCCTCCATTACCGCTGTCACAGAACTCAGCTTCATCAACTTCCCCAAGAAATTCTATCACATCAAGAAGTTTGCAACTTTAGAATCCCTTCTAGAGATTGGGAAGGATCACGTCATGACATGTCATTAGTTTCCTCTCTTTCCTCTCATCCCTGCTCTTATCCCATACTTCCTGTTTTGTCATACAAGTCTGTGGGACATCTTAATATAGATGGTATTTTACTATTACCACAGATCATTTCCTTTCTACACATTTTAACATCTCCAAAATTGAAATATGTCTTTAATTGATGTTCTAGATGAAGTGAAACATCATATTAAAAAAGATATGAGGCAGTATCAGCAGGATGGCAAATAGGAAGCTCCAGTCCCTGTTCCTCAGTGGGGAACAATTTATAGACCAAAATACCTTATGAGAACTCTAGAAATCAGTTAGGAAGTTTTGCTACCCTAGTCAAGTATGGAGCCAAGAAGAGCCACATTCAGCAGGTAAGAAGAGCCATGTAATTTTATCTATGATTTCCCCTTCCCCAAACCAGTGAAGCTCAGCTCAGGTCACAGATATTCCCTTAGAGGAAAAAAGAGAAGAGTGGAATGTATAACTAGTATTCTGGATTTTTAGAGTGCTATCCAAGGACTGGTTCCTCTCAAGATTGGGAGAAGGCTTCCAACTCAGGACTCCTCCCAGGGAGGGAGAAGAGTAGAGCATATGTCTGATATTCCACCTTTTTGGAGAACTGCCCAAGGAAGTGATATTTATTTTACCCACTTAAGGGTGCTGATGGGGAACCAGTGTAATTTGAATACCTGGGGGCCACTAAGCACAAAGCAGAGAATGGAGGCTTGCTGCTGTAGTTACAGAACCTGTAGTGCCATAGTCAAACACTAGAGAGAACAAGAGATGAGCTTTTGAAAAAAAACTGTAAAACCTCTCTAATTATAAAATTACAAATATAAACCTAGGGAATTCACATCCCTTCAGAAAGAATTCAGAGGCCCCTAGAATCTAGATGGGCTGTTTATTGAAGGTATTCCTATGTATGAAGCCAGTCCATTAAAAATTTAAAAAGATTTTGGGACCAGCTGATGGTGTAATGGTTACGTCACTGGACTCCCACATAGTCGACCACAGTTTGAGCCTCTGACCTGGTAGCTTAAATCTCATGCCAGGCACATGCATGTGTATGCCCAAGATCCCAAGAGGAGAATGGAGGAGAAGGGATTGCGGCATGGTCATCCCCCTTGGGAGGTGATTTCTTGCTTTCTGTCTCTCTGTCTCTCTGGTAAGCACATGTTCCCTATAGCAAAAATGTCTCTTAAAAACTTTTTAGAAAAGCTTTTAAAAAAATGCAAATTGGGGCTGGCAGGTGACCTGGTGGTTAAGGGCACTGGACTCCCATGGCTGACTGCAGTTCGAGTCCTGTACCTGGTGGCTTGCTTTCTCACTTTTCCTCTCTCTCTCACTCTGTTCCTCTCTGCTCAAATAAATAAAATAAGTCTTTAAAAAATACAGAATGAAATGAGAATGTCAATAGAGATAGAAACTATAAAAAGGACCAAATTCTGAAACTGAAGAATACAAGTGAATTGAAAATTTCATCAGAGGTATTCAATAGCAGACTTGATCAAGTAAAAGAAAGAATTAGAGAATTTGAAAACAGATAATTTGAAATTATTGAGTCAGAGGAACAAAAAGAAAGCATGAAGACACATGAGGAAATCTTAAGGTAATAATGGGACATCATCAAGTGGCCTTGATACACATTATGGAAGTTCCAGAAGTAGAAGAGGTAAAAGGATAGAGAACTGATGAAGAAATAATGTCCAAAAATATCTCAAATCCGAGGAAAGAAATAGACATCCAATTCTATGAAGTTCAAAGAACACCAAATAACATGAACTGAAGAGGCCAACACAGAAACATTACTATGAAACTGTCAGTAGTCAAAGACAGAGAATCTTGAAAGTAGCAGGAAAGAAGGCGAATCGTTATATATGAGGGAGCTTCTATAAGATAGGGAATTTCTCAGCAGAATCTTAAAGGAAACAGGAATAAGAAGATATATTCAAAGTGCTGAAAGAAAGAACAAAAATCTGCCAACCAAGAATACTATATTTGGCAAAACTGTCCTTCAAAAATGAAGTTGAAATAGAGTTTTCAAAAGCAAAAACTGAGGGAATTCATCACTATTAGGCCTTATAAGAAATGCTAAAGGGAGTCTTCAAGTCCAAAGAAAAGGATATTAGAGAACAATACAAGAGCATGCTGAAATAAGAGTTATAACTCATTGGTAAACTTAAATATATAGACAGATTCAGAATTCTGTAATATTATACTTGGTGCTACATATTTCACTTACAATAGATGTTTTATTTGAAATTCATTGTGACCACAGAGAAGATACACAGAAGAGTCAAAGCACGTCAACACACAGAAAAACTATGAAACATGAAGGCAGCAAGAGAAGACATGAGGCACAAAATAATTATAAGACAAAGAGAAATGATCAAAGGCCAATAGTAAGTCTTCATCAGTAATTAAATGAACTAATCTCTACAATAAAAAAAGACATAGCGCGTGGGCCATCAGGTGGTGTGGAGGTTAAGGCATATATCTTGGATCCCACATGGCCAACTGAGTGGTTTGATCCTGGACTCAATGGCTTGAAAATCATGCCAGGCATGTGTGTTTGCATGCTCAAAATCCCAGGAGGAGAATGGAGGAGAGTGGATTGCAGTGTGACCATCTCCACTGGGGAGTGATTTTCCACTTTCCTTCTCTCTCTCTCCCTGGCAAGTGCATGAACCCTATAGTAAAACTTAAAAAAAAAAAAAAAAAAAAAAAAAAAAAGCAGGGGTGTGCATGTGTACCCAAGATCCCGGGAGGAGAATGGAGGAGAAGGGATTGCAGCAGGACCATCCTCCCTGAGGGGATGATTTCGCACTTTTCCTCTAGTTGTCTCTCTCTCCAGCAAGCACATGCCCCCTATAGTAAAACTCAAAAAAAAAAAAAAAAAAAAAAAAAAAGGCAGTGTGGCCAAATGAATTAAATAAATAAATACATAAATGAGTTCTGTGGCTGGCTCCATGGCCTGATGGTTGAAACCATTGGATCCCACTTGGCTGACTGTGCACTTTGAGTCCTGGATCTGGCAGCTTGAAAAACATGCTGAGCATGTGCTCATCGATGCTCAAAAATCCTGAAAAAAGAGAGAGATGGAGAAGAAGGAATTACAACATGGCCATTTCCCATAGGAGTGTTTTCTCCTCTCCTCTGTCTGTCTCTCTAGCAAGTGCACATGCCCTCTAGCAAAACACACAAACAAAACATTCTGGTTTCTGTTTCCATATGTAAGGTGCTTGGAAGTCACTACTCTGTCCTAACAAGTAAAAACTGGTCAGACAAAAATCAACAACTCTTAGATACTTAGGAGAAGTAAGGTTAGGACCAGCTAGGTGGCTGTGGTGGTTAAGGTACCTGGATATCACATGGCTGACTGTGGTTTGAGTCCTGAACCCAGAGGCTTGAAAATCATACCAGGCATGTGTGTGTGTGTATATATCTATGTGCATGCCCAAAATTCTGAGAGGAGACTGGAGGAAAAAAGATTATGGTGTGGTCATCCTCTTGGCAAGGGTGGTAGGAGTGCTTGTCTCTCTCTGATGAACACATGTGCCCTATAACAAACTGCAAAATTAAAAAATACACAAATACAAAAAAAAAAACCCCTTTTTAAATAAAAGAGAGTAGTAAGACAAATATTTGTTCTCAATATTGAAGATACAGATACATACTAGAGCAGAATCTCTCTGGCAACCAGTACCAAGATAGAAAAGTCAATGTATTTCTGGAAGCTAGGTGTGGACAAGTTAAAAATTCCAGACCTAGCCATGGTGGCACAGGTGGTAGCACCACTGTGCAATACTGGATCCATATGGGAAGGCCCTGAGTTTGGATCCTAGGTTGATTATCAGGCATGACCACTCTTGTCTGTGACCCTAGCTGGCTAGGAAGATTCAGGTTGGGGAGGATCTCAACATTGCAAGACCCTGCCAAGGGTGCCTCTATCTCTCCCTCACCTAGTCTCCCACTCTCTCCTTTCTCTCAAAATAAATAAACTTGAAAACTCTAGGGGAACCTAGTCACACAAGGGACCTTAAAAATTTGTGAGTTTAACATCTAGGAGTTAATGTTAAATATTGGAGAGAAAAAAACCCTCATGCTTCCAACAGGGGAAGAGGAAAAGGAACCATTTTTAAATACATGGGAGCACTCTGTTCTCCTTAAGAAGGCCTGCCTTCAAGAGAAACTAGTTAAATAGTCTAACTTGCTAGGGGTTTTTCAAAGCCTAACTGATGTGAGGGAAAGGTAAATACCAAACTCTTGACATTCACACTTAATGCTAAGAAACTGGAAGCTTTCCTACTGTGATCAGGATCTATAATGATTTCCACTCTCACCACTGCTTTTCAAAATCATACTGGGGGACCAGCTCTGTGGCTTAGTGGTTAAGGGAGACGGATCCCACATGGCTGACCACAGTTTGAATTCTGACTCTAGAAGCTTGAAAAACATGCTGGAGGCATGTTTATTTGTGTATGTGTGCCCTAAAATCTGATATGGAGAAATGGAGGTGAAGGGATTGTAGCATAATTTCATCCCATTGGGGGATGTTTTCTTCCCTCTGTGTCTCTTCTCTCCCCCCCTTGCACGTGCACACACACTCTGACAATTAAAAAAATCACACTGAAAGTCCTAGCTAATGCACTACAACAAGAACTAGAGAGTATATTGATTGGGAAGGAAGAAATGACAACTGTCTTTCTTCATTTGCAGATGACATGATTCTTTATATAAAAAATTATACAGAACAAACAACAACAAAGAAACCCTGCTGGGACTTATAAGCCATTATCATAGGTTGCAGGATATAAGGTTAATAATATACAAAAGTCCATCACTTTCCTATATATCAGTAATGAAGGAGTAGAATTTGAAATTAAAAATACAATACCATTAGACTAGCCCCATGTAGTTAAGGGAGCTGCATCTCATATGGCCAGATATGTTGTTCAAATCTCAGACTGACATCTTGGAAAACATACTGGGAGCATGTGTGTGCATGCCCCAAATCTTGACAGGATGAAGAAATGGAGAAGGGATTGTAATGTGACCATAACCCATTAGGGAGGCTTTCTCCCACTTCCTGCCTCTTCAACTCTCTGTCCCCCATGTCTCTCTGGCAAGTGCATGTACCCTCTGGCAAATTTAACAAAAAATAATATTACAATACCATTTACATTACTATCCCTCCAAATTGAAATATTTAGCTATAAATTTCACAAAAGATGTAGAAGAGGGACCAGCAGTTAGCATAATGGCTATGTCGCTGGACTCCCATGTGGTTTGCGTCCTGGACCCGGTGGCTTAAAAATCACGCCGGGTCTTCCTTTTGGCCAGAACCGCCATCTCCAGTAATTAACCAAAATGACGAACACAAAG